ATTGGGTGGGGGGGGCAAGGGTGTAGGGGGTTTGCTGGTTAGGGGTTAGAGGGATGTGGCTGTGATACGTTTTCGGTTTTGGGGGTTGGCATGCGGTGTAGGGTAGGGGGTTCAGGGGGTTTTGGGGGTTTGGGGATGTGGGGGCCCTGGGGGGTATTAGGCTGGGCCAAGATTTGGGGTTCGGGGGTGGCATACGGGGTTTAGGGTTCTGGCTTGGGGGTGTGGGTTTGTGTTATGGTTGAGGGTTCACGTCAATTTATAAGAAAACCATAAGGCCATCCCATGCAAACTTCACACCAATCTATAGAGTGCACTTCTTACTAACACATTATAAAAAAAATACCAAAAAAAAAAAAAAAACCACATAAAACAGCAACTCAAAAGTGCGTTTTCAGGCAATTTTGCCAAAAAAAGAACTTCATCAGAAATTCAGGATTTCCAGGATGATTAACAGCACAAATTCTAATAACCCAAATGGCACCAAATTTGACACACAGCAAGCTTGTCCCAAAACAAAAACAGGCAAAAATAAAAATTCCAAAAAAACACAAAATTTGACCCCAAAACCCTAATTTCAGGATCATTCATCGTTACCCAGGGCTGAAAAGTGGGGGTCCCCGTTAACCACTTGTGTGGTTGGCATGCGGGGTTGGGGGTGTATAGGTTTAGGGGTTTACTGGTTAGGGGTTAGGGGCAAGGGGTTAAGGGCATGGGGGTTGACATGAAAATAAATTCGATACCCCTAGAAAAAAAAAACGTCGATCCCCCATTCAAACGTTGCCATGCAACACATCTCAACGTCCCGCAAAAAACAAACAACCGGTGCACATCATTGGCAGAGAAGGTGAAGCGCAGACATCAACAGTTATTTCAATTTCTCAATTCACATCAGAGCATGCATCGAGTCATTCATCATGCACAAAGTTCAAGCAAGCAATGTCAATCACAATGGAAAACACAAATGAGTACGAACTCGCTCGCAAACACAATGTTGTGAAAATGAAATGTCGGAATATGAAGCATGGTCATCCGAAGGCGACAGCTGGAAGATAAGGAAGAAAAACATGGAACTAACATCTCTCTCTCCCTCTCTCTCTGTGTCTCTCTCCTTCTCTCTCGCTCAGACTCTCTCTCTCTCTCTCTCTCTCTCTCTCTCTCTCTCTCTCTCTCTCTCTCTCTCTCTCTCTCTCTCGTCATGTGCTGTCTAATGTCTATGACCTGTGTCACCAAAACGTAAACCAAATCCTATGACATGAACAACATGTGTGAAGACATGTCTATTATCTACACACTATCAACAAAACACTATAGTAAATCCTGCCTACCTGCAGCTCGATATCTACGCAAACTATTGCACCTAACTGAAAATGAGAAGTCCTAATTAAAAGAAAGAGAACTCGCCACATCTAATATACAGACCAAAAGAAAGTCGAGAGTACACAAATAACTAATCGTCGTCGTCGACGACATCCACCCTCGTCCTCGTCCGGCCACCAACAACTCTATCACCCACACGCCTAGCCTGGTGCTGCTCCCCTATTCGAGCGGCCTCCTGTGCCCGCACAACTCTCTGTCTCTCTCTCTCTTCCACCTCGGCCGTCGCCATGTCTCTGAGCAGAATCCCATGAACATCCTGCCTCCTCTGCTGTCCTCGAGGCATCTCCAAACCGCCAGTCCCTGAGGAATACGAGTCAACTGCTAAAGAAGGAGCGCGCGGTCTCCTGTCCCTGACATGCTCCTCTAAGATGCGGCCCGCCGTTCCTCTATCCGACGGACGGGTCGGAGGCAGATCGTCCGCTGTCGAAGTGGTCAGCGCACGTGCCCCCGCTGCGGCGGTCTGCGTCCGCTGTGTCGATGCACCAATCACGTGAGCAATGCGCTGTGTCGAAGGGCCGGCCCCGGTACTGTCCAAACGTGATCCGCCAATCCCGCCCCGACCCCAACCTGCTGCATCCACCTCAATGTCTCCCCCTCGCGGCAACGGGGGAGGTCTCATAGATGCGGGTATGGCAGCTAATCCTGGCTGCATGTCTCGCATCGCTTGAGTGACCTTCCTCACAGAGCCTAAACCATGAGGATGAGTCTTCATCCGCGACTGCGGAGAAAGACTATCCTAACCTCTACCCTCCGCCTGCTGTGTCCCTCCTACAGATGGACGACTCTCAGATCCAGCACGACCACTGTCCTACGACCTCGTATTTGCCGCGCATGCGGCGCTGATGCTCTCCATCTGCTCCATAGGATCCCAAGGGGGAGGGGTGACGCCTGTCATGGAGGAGGGCACTGACGGGCTACATGGCGCATATGGTGGGGGGTCTCCCAAAGCTCTGCGGCTGGCATCCTCCATCCGCCCCCGCCGATCAGCCGTAAGAGGATCCTCTCTGCCTTCGCACTCCAAAACTGCAGCGGACATGGCGCCACCTAAAGGCAACACACAAATACCCTCCGCAAGCGCGTCAGGGTGGTCGACGACCACTGAATCGACTGGCTGCTCGCCAGGTCCGTCAACTGCATGTTGCTGCATTTCTGCAGCAGACGCACTACCTCGTCCTTCATCCGTCTGCTCCCTTCCACCGGCGGGCTGTCTCTCCTGCTCGCATCCATCATGCACACCGAATGCCTCAGATCCTCCGTGAGGTCCACCCCCTCCACCGACAAGCCCACCACCACCTCCCTCCGCATCGTCATCCTCTCCACCAATCGGTCGAAGTCCCGGTCTGCAAACACCGCCATCGCTCTGCGCGGGTCGGGAGGCGTCCCCCTCCTCAACCTCCTCGACACCATGCGTCCGCACCCCCGTGCCGCAGCTATCAGGAACATCCGTCTCGACGACGAGTGCGACGCCCGTCTCAAGGGCGCGAGCAGCATCCAAACTCGCTCTGACGTCCTGTGTCATAGGGCAGGACTGAGCAAGCGCTAGCGCTCGCTGTCTCTCCTCTCGGTCCCTCCTGTCCGCATCCGTCTCCACATCCGTATCCTGCATGGGCGAAAAAAGGACAGCATCCCCCGTGCTCTGAATGGGCTGGCTGGCCGTACCCTCCATCCCCTGAGCCACCTCCATCAACAAACTGCTCGAGACACCCCCGTCAGTATCCAATCCTCGTACAACCTGGCTGATGGGTGTCTTGCCTGCGGCAACGGGGGTCTGTCCAGCATCACTGACGGTCGGCGGAGGTCCCATCGACATACCCAAAATATTGGACAACGAGCCGGTAGCCACGGCTAAATCCCCTGCAGTGGCCGGAAGGCCGTGGCCAGCCTTAGATCTCCCCCTCTGAGGTGAAAGTGGAATTTGTCCCCCCGATCCTCCGTCTCCTCCACCCCTGGCTGACCCCCCCGCTCCACGACCCCTCTCCTCCGCCAACCTGGCAGAACGTTGCTGACCGTGCTGCTCCTCGACAGCAATGTCTCGAGTACCCTCACCACCTCTCCGTAAGGCGTCACCCCCACCCCTGTCGAAATCCATGTTGTCCTAAGACTCGATGTTGTCCTGCTCGATACCCCCACCCCCACCTCCATCATCGTCGTCGCTGTCGGAGTCGATGGAAGTGTGCTGTCGCTGTCGAATGGACAGGCCCTGACACTGTGCATCTGCACGACCTGGCCTCCCAACCACTGCAGGTCCAGGCGCAGCAGCATCCCCCGGGCGAGGGGAAGGAAGAGGAGGGGCCGAGGTCGACCCTCGCGTCTCGCGTCGCATCTGTGACAGGGGGCCATCATCGTCGGATGACCGGCCCGACTCCGCATCCAGGTCATCAGGATCAGACCAAGGCTCCTCCTCAATCTCATTCTGTGCGAGAGGGTCGGGCTCTGGGTCGTACACCGCGTCCTCCTTTTGTGGCAGAAGAATAGTTGCTCGCCTGCCAAAGTATCTCTCCACGCTCGCAGGCTGTCGAGTGAGAGAATCCTTCAGCCCCTTCCGCACTTGCCTGTCCAGCTGCTCATCAGTAACCTTATCCGCAAGGCGGACTCCCGAGTCACGTGGGTCCGGTCTCTCCTCCTCCGTGATGACGTCCTCGTCCTCCCATGGGAGAACGTACCCCAACCCCCTCGTGTGGCATCGAAGCAGTCTCAAATTGGTGGATATCTACACCAAACGAGTGAGCTTGGTAAAACCAAGCTTGTTTCGCCACTTCACCTGAACGCGCTCGTGGACAGCCCAGTTCCTCTCAGCAGGAGAGGCACATGTCCACGTGTGCATCAGGCGAACCACGATACTCTGCAACAAAGGGACACCGTCCCCCCACTGCACCCACCACTGAGCAACCGCCGATGTCTCCTTCTCCCCCCTGCAGGTCTCCGCATCTCGGTCCTCGTCGCGACCGCCATACGCACAATCCCCCTCTCGACTGTGGAACTCCCTCAAAGCTGTCCTCAAATCCTGGTACAACTGCCTGTCCGGTCCTGGCTGCTGACGAAGGTAAATGTCAGCCTCCTCTGCCGACTCCCTCTCGTGGTCTGTCCTACGCACCCCCTCAAAGTATGCAATACTCCTGTGCCGCGGGTTAAGGAGGTGGGCCATACAATGAGCAGGCTCCAACATATGCCTCCTCCGCGCCTGCAAACCTCTGACGAGGGTGTCCAACTCTGTACGGCTGGTGCGTCGGGTAGGCGCCTGAGCAACCCTCTGAATGACCCTCTCCGACCATGACCACAAGCGTGACATCACGCGCCCCCCACGGTCGAGTCTGCGCAACAACTGCATCACAGGTGTCATCAACTCACAATGTCCTCGACGTCGTCCCAAAACGCAGCAAATCTGACCTGCTGCCGCACCCACCTCGACTGAAGCCGCAAGCTCCGTCTCCACGGCTGTCGCAACCACTCGTCGCTGATCATCATCTCCTCCAGTGCGTGACGTCGCTCCAACAGCCGCTCTAACATCAGGTAATGTGTAGCGAATCTGGTCTGCACCGGGTAAATGAGCTCCCGACCGTGACCAGAGGTGCCGCTAGAAGCCGACCACGGCGCTGTCTGCCCTTTGGCAGGGTGACGTGCGGAAAATCGCCTAAAAAGGGCGAGGGCGGCCCCGTGCGACCGAATGAATCGCACGACCGCCCTCGCTCTGATGATCGTGTCCTCCCTGTGTCCAACGACACCATCTCGTCCATCCTTGCCAATGTCCGACAACATCAGGTTGTAGACATGCACCGCACATGGGAGCCAAGTGATGTGACTGTATCGAAGATCCTTGTCCTGCGCAAGGAGCTTCGCGGCCGCGACGTATGTCCCCGCAGAGTCCGTACAAATAGCATTCACATTTTCGAGGCCGAAGTCATTGAACACCTTCTTCCACCGCCTCACAACCACATCCGCCGTGTCCTGCTCAGCACCATCCCTCTGCACTGTCCTCAACAGCTACGCCCCCGAAGACCCGGCTGCCAAAAAGTTGACTATCTGATCAGCAGTGATGGATTTGCGACCGTCCGTGAGGATGGTCCCTCCTAACGCCGCCACATCTATCCTCAGCGTCGCGAGCATCTTCGCAATGTCCTTGTGCTACTGCACAATACCATCGCCAAAGATGCGGCGAAGGTTGGGCAGAGTCGGATGTACCCGAGGGGGGCATGTCGCAAGGTGCCTCCTGAAGGTGTTGTAGTCTGGCCTCCCCGCCGCGTGAAACGGGATGCCGCTAACATAGAACCACTGCAGGAAATAGGCGTCCAAGTCCTGCTGCCATTTAGGGTCGAACGAGTCCTCCATGCACGACTAACGAAACTTCTTCGCGGCTCCTGTCGGCGGAAGGGGCTGCGGAGAAGTCGGCCTCTTCCTCGACGTTCCAATGCCAGTGACCGCTCTCTTATCTCCCCTCAACGCTCCGTGGTCACGCTCTGCCTCCCTCTCAACATCGATTGGAACCTCCGCAGACCTGTCGTCGTCAGCACGACGACCACCCTGGACACCTCCACTCTCAGGCGCTTCACACTCCCCATCCAGCTTGCTCCTTCTCTTCCTCCGCCACTCGCTCAGGGTCATCTTCGTCTTCCTCTCCCAAGTCTCCCCCTTGTTAACCAAGTTCTCGTCTCTTGTCTGCCCACCCCCTCTCTACAAGGTACGCTTGTATCTTCTTCCAATGACTTTGATCGAAGTGGTAAGCACTCTTGTTCCAAATTTCAGCTAAAACGTCCAACGTGGCTTGCGGGAAGCTGTTCTTGATTGTGTAGTGCAACACGCACTTGCTGGTCACATAGCTTGCACTTCATGATGAAGTTCCCATTCCGCCCTCGCAGCGTCTGGCCCTTCTGCATCCATTTGAATCCAACGAACTTCAGCTCCGCATCTCTCTGCCTGTCTCTGTTAACAGGGATGAACTCTCCGTATGTTCCCCGACGCCTGGGCGGCATCTTGCTCGACGCCCCAACAGACCGCCGTCGTGGACCAACCGCTCTCGTGGCACCCCCTTCGCAGCGGCCCCCCTCCCGAAGTGCCCCTCTGCTCTTGCCAACTTGCCTGCCCGAGAGCCCCTAGCACACGCTGAGCCCAGCGATGTAGGCCCTGGCCCGTAGCGCCAGCAAAACGGCCTTCCCCGGGCCGCGGCTCGGTTGGTACGGGCCGTTCGTCCTCTCTCTCTCTCTCTCTCTCTCTCTCTCTCTCTCTCTCTCTCTCTCTCTCTCTCTCTCTCTCTCTCTCTCTCTCTC